AGCTCAGTCTCTAGCCAGTATTTACTTTGGGACTAGAATTGTGTTTTCTATGTATTCATTTTTCTCCTTTGTTCTTTTTCAACATACTGGAGTGTGTAGTACAGTATAAACAAGTGCAAAGTGCATGCTTTTGGTTTTTGCACTGTTGAAACCCATTTTAATATACTTCACCTAATTTTGAGAATAATTGTGTTTTTATGTGGCTATAGTACATCTGTAACATTCATTGTATTGTTTGGTAAAATTAGTTTAACTGTTTAATAATAAAGAGCAAATTAAAAGCTTTAGATCACGAGTTTTTGCTTAAAAAAGAAAAATGTATTCAGGAATGCTGCACATGTATTCTAATTGTTTTGTATTAAAACAGTTATAACCTGTTATTGTACTCTACATAAAAAGTTCATAATAAAATGAATCAAAATGTTGCCTGTCATTTTATGTAGCTCTAGACCTTCAGATTAATCTATTGACCTTAGAAAAATGGTCATTTCAATCAAACACACTATCAGATTTCCTGCCCCCCCAGACGCCTTTAACCTTGTGAGCCACGGTGCTGTATGGGTTTATGCTGTGCAGCCTTTGGTGACATTTCTCAGAGCACAACATTCAAGAGCAATAAACACAGGAGTTTCTCTGCTACAACCTTACTTGGTCTGGTATGACCAGCAGCTCATGAAGGCTCAAGTTAGTAAACATTAGATAGGTGTGCCCCCACCTCGGTTTGCCAGTTTTGTAGTTAGTTGGTATCCCCTGAATGTCAGAGTGACAGCATTTAGAAAAAGTTACCAGGTCTCTTTAAAGTGAAAACAAACTGTGCAATTTATGGGAGCACTGTGAGATAACATTAGAGATGGGAGGCACACAGCTCATAATCCTCACTCTCACCTAATATGCTCCCACCCTGAACATTATCCAGCTTGGATTAGTATAATACTACAACATCGGCTTTAACTAGATTTTGCATGTTGGCAATTATTCGTCTGTGGACTCAACTCACCACTTGATCAGCAGTGAAGTCAATGTAGCCTGGCAGAATCAGGAAGTCACTGGGGAAGAAACAAAAACAGTTAAGGTAAAAGAAAGTTTAGATCTTTTCAGCCTACAGTTCTGAAGCTTCCTTTCAGATGTCAAACACTTTAACCCCCGATGTCTGACTAAACTGGCTTCACTCCAAGAGTTAAAAGGAATAATACACTAATTGTAATTGTAAGTATTTTTTGTAAATAGTGAACATGACAGGTTAAATATTGAGCAGGTGATTTTTAAGCTCAGAAATAGTTATGGCATTTGAGAAAAGAACGCATCTTATGCAACTGCAAACTGGACATAACATGAATTGCTTGGACGGGGATCGTCAGTGAGTGTCATGTTCACAAGACTGCAGAGCATAGATGGAGCAGAGTAGAGGCAAAGAGGCCCAGAAACAGACTAAGGGTATGAAAGCATGTCCATCCATGCGACCTGAGAAAATGTGTGTCATTAAGCCACTGCACTTTATTATGCATGAACTGCATTTAAAATCGATTAAACCTGGGGTTCCAGTGAGTCAAAGGATTCACTGATACAGCTTTATTTTCTTACCCATTTAGAAAGAAATAAGAAGAAAAGAAAAAAAAAAAAAACACTAAAACACAGTTTGTTTGATTTCCTTTTATTTTGTTTGTATTATATAACAGTTTTGAAATCTTTAATTGCTTAAAAAAAAATTAATTCATCATTGGATTTTGGATTGCTTGGTTGTCAGAAATAATTACATTCAGATTTTTTTGGGGGGAAAACAGAAAAAGCTGAAAAGTTTCAGAGTCATCTTGTGGATGATTTGATAATCAGTGAATCAGATTCTTAGTTTTCCCTGCTGAGTAAAAAGCAATTTCATTAAAGAATAAACTGTTTTTGTTGTGCAGAGGACTACCGGGCCGACGTTCTAAATATAGCCAGGGTCCACAGGATCCAGCATAACAACACAGGACTGCATGAGCCAGAGCCTAAATTTAGGGCAAGTGTGTGCACCGAAGGACTGTTCACCCCTTTCCAATAGGTTTCAACTCAGATTGGTCCAGTATTATTAGCTTAGAAGGGCACCAGTGATCCTTTGACGCACAATGCCCGATTTATGAAGTGAAAACAATTAACATTTATAGAAACTTTCAAAACCTCACTGAACAATTTTGCTGGGATTTCTCTGATAATACATACAGCTGCACAGTTACACAGAGGCAGTGGATTCACCGTGAAACGTTCAATCCTGCGTACAAGGCAGATTTTCAAAAGGCGCGAAATTTAAACAGCGAGTTCATATTTAAATGCCACCAGACTTGCTTGAAAACAAAACAAACAAAACCCAACAACAACGCAAAACACAGGAACACAAAAACAAATTCTTGTTCTTGAAACGGATTGCATTCTGGGAAATGTAGGATCCTCTCTTTTTTGAGGGGGCGCTATCCCCGTTTAGCTAAAAGTAAGCCCTAGTAATAATGCACCTATTACACGATAATAAATGCAACAATTAAGTAACACCCTGGTTTTCGCTTCATAATATTAGTAGAATGTCTTAAGAAACATGAACCACTTACGTACAAACATAGCTAGCCCAGTCCGACTTTGGCAACACGTCTAATACAGGGGGGTACACACAAAGCCATACAAAATGATTGGCGTTAACTTGGCCTGCTTACCAGGGATACAGGTATAGAGATAAGGTCCTTACTTGTATGTGAGTCCGTCTCCTCCGTTGAACAGCTGCTGTCCCGTCAGCCCGTCATCGGGGACGTAACCGGTTTGCCCGCTGATCAGGTAGTCCGCCATGCTGTCCAAACAGCCTTCACCAGTCCTCTTATCAGCCTTCGACTGTAAATAAATCACCCTAACAAGCTGCCGAGGTGCGTATACAGAAACACAAAAACACTCTCTCAAGCCGCACCGGCTCAGACACCGACAACTTTCCTCTTTCGCGCCGCGAGTTGCTCTCCTCCTCGTTCAGTTACCCTTCAGTGCGTCGTCAGGCTCCTCCGTGCGCCCTCTTAGCAGTCTGAGCGTGTGCTAATGAAAAGAAGAGGACCAGAAAACGGCACCGTGAGAGATATTTGCTGCCTTTTCGAGCCTCTTCAACCTCAACAGACAAGTGCTCATGTTCTCTCTGCGGCTAACTCCAGCACGTGTATCACTCCCGTCTGACAGCGTTTCCGACACTGCCGTCACATCCGGAAGACCCGCCCCCTCATATATATTATTTCATTGCTGTAGAATTTAATGAAGCTCCTCTTCAGTATTCATACAAAGTTGTATTTACTCTCATATGGGTGACTTGTAGACCCTTTGAAGATAACACACAGATTTCTGACATTTTTAGGGCTCCAATGCTGCTTAAATCCAGCTGCACTGATTTCTGTTGTGTTTCTAGTTTGTTGCCTACAGGGTACACTGGGAGATAAAACATAGTATGGCAAGGTTATCCCAACAGAAAATAATTATTTCAATTCATATTATTTAAATGTAATGATGTCTAACAAGGCTGGACTTTACAAGTTAACGAGTGACACATTAAATGCGATAGCGTCTTTCCCAACCTTTTTTTCCCCCGAAGGTGTTCAAACCAAAAGAGTCCCCAAGTATTCTGAGCACCTTTTAAAAGTTCCAGGTGGCAACAAGAGCTGCTATGGAGGGAAGGACATGTTTAAATAAATGCTTAGACTACAAGTTGTAACCTATGGTGGTTACATATTTTAAATTATTACAATAGTAACAAAGTTTATTCTTTAATCTGGTAAGTTTATTCGTCAAGTTGACAGCTCATACAACGAGCTTGCTGGTCAGTTAGTAGTCTATAAATGACTGTTTGTTTGTTTTTTTGTTGTTTTTTTTTAATTAAAATATTTTTTTTATTTTTTAATCCTTCTTCAGGAAGTGCTGCCTTACATTTCTTCAGCTAGTGGGCACTGCTGACATACAGAGACAATAAAATCGTTTACCCATATATGCAGTATGTTACTCCTGACACGTGGCTTCAGGATCCAACAGGTATATAAACAAACAGATTTTTTGGGACTTCTGATTCTGTGACATCAACATGACCTTCTTTTATGGCTTTGCACCTAAAATTAACTTGATCTCCAAATCTTCTTATCTTACTGTAAGCTGCACTGGTATAGTGGACAAAATTGATATATTTCATAAAGTTAAATGAATCTCAGCTAATCTGAGCTCAATCATCAGCCCCACACACAGTGAAAAATGTGCCTGCTCCAAGTAAACACTTGAGGGTGCCCTCTTCCTCCTATACAAGCTATGTTACTGTGTAAATATGAAACCAGGACACATGCAAGGTCAAGCAGAGCAGTGGGGCAGTGGATATCATCTTTGCCCACTACTACACTTATCTATTTTAGGCTGTAACAGGCGCTGTGGGCCTTGCACTTAACAAGGTGCCAATCTGATAATGTCAGAGTAGGGTTTCTGCACCTTGTGTCAACAATGCAGTGCCCGAGAAATTACAGTGATTGTGAATATATCATTTTAATCCTGTTTATATGTATATTTATTAACAACGTGTCTTCATTGAAAGACTCTTTCAAAACATTTTTTAATTTATGTATCAGGACAAAAATAAAATCGTTTGAGTTAAATACAACTTCAGCAGTGTGTGAAAGAGTGCATGCTATGATTCAGTAGCTCATAGAAGCTTTGGCAGCCATAAACTTGAAGCATTCATTCTCTTTATGGGTTTATTAGTCTCTCTCACATTGTTGTGGAGGAATTTTGGCCTACTTTTTTTACAGAGTTGATTCAGTTCATTAAGGGTTGGTAGCATTAGTTTATGCATAGCTCTCTGTAGGTCCAGCTACAGCAGTGCAGTCATGAGGTTTCAGATGAGGCACCTTGATTATTCTGTCACTCATTCTGTTGTAGATTAGCTGCTGTGCTTGTGATCAGTCATGTTACAAGATCCTGCTACAGTCTCAGCTGAAGCTTTTGTTTAGCAGCATTATTTGTTTTTGTGTTAATGGACTGAATGGTTGCCGCACTCTGTATTCTCACTGATGTGTGTCTAACCTCACATCCTACACTAGAATACTTTGGTATACAGAGGAGGCAATTGTTGACTCAGTGACTGCAAGGTGTCCATGTCCTGTGGACTCCAAACTCCTACTTACCTTCTGTATTTTTCCTAATAATTAGAAGTTTAGTTTACCTCAGGTTGCCTTTATCAGATTATTTTTTTCAAATATACAAATACAGAAAACCTTTGAACCTTAAAAGGGTTTTTGTTGTTTTTTTGTTTTATTACCAGTATGTGTGTTGGAAACAAAATAATGACACACTGCAGGTGTAGGAATGACCTCTGGTAAAAGGACTTGTTCCTATATAGCGCTTTTCTACTCTCTGAGAGCACTCAAAGTGCTTCATACAACACGCCTCATGCACCCATTCATCAGCATTTATTTTTTGTATGCCTAAGTGCTTTCTATCTAACATTCTCACACACATTAATACTCTGGCGGATGCATCAGAGAGCAACTTAGGGTTAGGATCTTGCCCAAGATATTTGATATGAAGACTGGAGCAGCTAGGGATTGAACCACCATTAGTCGATCAAAACTTCCTGTTAGCAGATGATCCTCTACCTTCAGAGTTACAGCCATCCCCTGCTGTGTACGACACTCCTCTAATTCACATTGACAGCACAGTGTGCGGGACAAAAAACATTTAGATCTTAAGTCCTATATAGATCAATCATGTCACTGAAATCACTGGCAGGTGAGGTAACATTACCTGGTTGCTGTGTCACCCCAGGGTGAGATATAATAGGTAGCAAGTGACCAGAAGGTTCCTACTGTTTTGGAAGCAGGTACTAAAACGTTTCAGGCCCACAGGAGTGCTACTGTAACACAAATAACCTTGATGATAGCCATGAGGTAAAAAAGGTCACTGGATTGGATTCATCGAACTGTTGACACGTACCCCACACATCAACATTGTGGCTGACCACAAACAAGTCTTGCTTGCAGTGTACACCCTGATGGCAGTTGCCTTCTTCCAGTAAGACACCATGTGCTGGCAGTGTCTATAAAAACAAAGTGTATTTATCCATTTCAGATGTTTTATTTGTTTGTTTTTAGAAAGCAGAGTGCAACTTCATGTTAAGGATGGATCATTAACTCAATCATATTTTCTCTTTTATCCATCCATCCATCTTTTTCCGCTTTATCTGGGGCCGGGTCGTGGGGGCAGCAGCCTAAGCAGAGAAGCCCAGACCTCCCTCTCCCCAGCCACCTCTTCCAGCTTATCCGGGGGAACACCAAGGCGTTCCCAGGCCAGCCGAGAGATATAATCTCTCCAGCGTGTCCTGGGTCTGCCCTGGGGCCTCCTTCTGGTGGGACATGCCCGGAACACCTCACCCAGGAGGCATCCTTGTCAGATGCCCGAACCACCTCAGCTGGCTCCTTTCGATGTGGAGCAGCAGCGGCTCTACTCTAAGCCCCCTCCCGGATGGCCGAACTTCTCACCCTATCTCTAAGGGAGAGGCCAGCCAACCTTCGGAGGAAGCTCATTTCCGCCGCTTGTATCCGTGATCTTGTTCTTTCGGTCACTACCCACAGCTCGTGGCCATAGGTGAGGGTAGGGACGTAGATCGACCGGTAAATTGAGAGCCTTGCTTTTACACTCAGCTCCTTCTTCACCACGACAGATCGGTGCAGCGTCCGCATCAGCGCCGCATCACTCTCCTTTCATTTAGTAAAAAACTGAAATAATTAAAATTCCTTAAAATAAAAAACAACAACAACACAACAAAACAACTGAATAAATGTGGAACAAACAATGACTTGATTTTTTGTCCTTTAAACCTTTAAGTGAAATTCTGTGTGAAGTGGTGTTTGTAATTAACACACAAGAGACAGGATCCGGTTTAAAAACTCTCTCAGTAACTCTATTTCTGTATTAATGTACAACCGTTGAAAATTACAGCTTTTTTTTTGGTATTTTCTTTTTTTTCAAATTTTTTTTAAAACAATCTATCTATGAAGAGCCATTTTCCAGAAGAAAAGTGAACAATGTCAGCAGGGAAAGGAAAAAGAGAAAACGAGGGCAAAATAAAGTATAGGGGGATGATGGAAAAGAAAGAGGAGCGCATGAGATGGGACGAGGAGAAAAATTAACAGTTTGTTTTCTGCAGCGGAGTGTTTGAGCGTGAGTGTGTGGGCGTGTGCATGCCATGTCAGTGGGAGGTGCTGTAGTGTGTGTAAATGGCAGAGATTACACTCACAGCTTCATAACAACTTCATGATCTGATCAGCGGAGGTGCTAATGCTAGATTTGCAATAGAAAGGGATCACGCCGGCTTGGATCTAGATTAGCTGAGCACAACTGAGTGACAGCATCAGAATGTGGAGACCAGAACGGGACTGATTCGGTAGTTTTACTTCAGCCATAACGACTCTTTGCTGGCAGCGGTTGCTGGAGCAAAAGACAAAACAGTGGAGGGAAGGTGTGTTTACTATAAAACACTAGGGACTGAATCTAAAGAAGTGAATGTTCAAACAAGTGTTAAAGAAATGAAACCTTCCCTCCAGCATGATGCAGGTTCTTGCATCATATGAGAGGGTTGTGGCACCCATCATTGAAGATATCACTCTCCAACAGTGAGAAGATGATGCACTACAAACCCCAACAACAGAACTTCTACACTCAGTGTTTTCTTCCCCCAAAAAATATCTGGAGAGGAAACTAAATTTCACCTTTGCATGTGCAACTACCATCAAGTGGAATCTAGCCATTATGGTCGCTGTAACACCACCAATCTGCACCTTCTGCTCAAAGAAAAAAATAAATAAAAGAAACAAAATACTCTTCCCAGCTTTTCCTCATTCTTCTCCATTCATGGCAGTTTGACTAGAGATTATGCCACAAAAGGTCACCAGCAATTTTTTGCAAAAAGCAGCTCTGCTCTCTTTTCATAAGGCTTCACTCTGCTTTCAGGTGCTGGTGCCAGTGTCTCGATGTTTACTGACAAATAAAAAGCAAAGCAGCTGACAGAAGACCTCTGAGCTTTGACCTACACGATCAGATCTGAAATGCTGAAACCAGTGTAACCTCGGTAAAATTGATGCTTTGAGGCAAAAACCTGTAAACGCGGCGGGGATGATGAAGAGGTATGGCTGATACAATCGTGCCACTCTGTGGCCCTGCAGCCTTATGGGAGTGAGGGGGAGGGAAAGATGGAAGCAAACAAGTGAGTGCAGTGAAGCAAAAGGAGGGGGTAAAGTATGACTGCACCGAGGCGTGGTCATGGAAGGAAGTAAAGGTTAGGAGGCAGGGAAGGAAGAAAGTAAAGAGGGAGATGCTGGTGCTTTGCAGTCGCGATGGAGCTTCAGGTGTCGTGGAAATCCTTCAGCAGCGTGCGTCGCCTCTGCTCAGCAATGTGCATCTGATTTTCCAGATCCTGCAAAAAAAAAGAAAAAGAAAAGAAAAGAAAAACGAAATCAATCACTATTATTTAAAAACAATACTTTTCTGTCAATAAAAATCATATGAAACACTGGAATCCAAAACTCATCAATGAACTGAACCATCTAATGGATCTCAGTAGGATCACCTATTCCCTTGTGTCTGAGATCCACTGTTTATCAAATTAATGAGCCATGGACTTGCCTAAAACAAAAAGTCACCTATTTTACTTGGAAATCAACTCAACAACAAATAAATACTCCACCATGCTTCATGTGCTGTCATTACTTGGATGTAATGAAACCAGCAACAGATTCCCATGGCTGTCATCCTGTAGTTTTCTCCTCTTACAGACCTAATGCATTTCCCCTCCCTCCCCTTGTTTAGTATACTCTCTCACCCCTCTGTCACTGGCGCTGAGCTCCCCCTCGCCTCCTCTCTCGTAGCTGTCGGCTCGCTCGACCTTCCACGACAAGTTTTCTATCTCTGCTTCCAGCTGGGCCTGCTGGTACTCAAACTACAGAGGACACATGGAGGAACACAAACATCAGCTCACCCAAAGAGAAATCTGACTGAAGTCACAATTACATTTGTTGAACAGATACAAAGTCAGTGGTAGGACAGTAAAAGGAAGACACTGGAATCACAGCTGATATTATATCATTTATTGAAGCTTGTTTCTCACCAGTTTCTTGCGCGGGCCCGACTCCATGTAATAGGCGTAAGGGTAGGTATACTGCAGTGTGTAGCGACACTGGGAACAAGACAACATGCAATCACAACACTGCACAGGCTTACTTGAGTTATTTTACTTTGCACACAAAAACTCAAATTTGTAATAACTTGATTTTTAAGCATCACAAAGTTAAACTTTATCACCATCTGTATATACTCAACCCAAGCAGCACATATGTTGCATGTGAGGCATTTTCATAGACATGTTACAAAGCAGATTTTCACTTTGAAATCCTTTAAAAGCAGAAAGGAACCAGTTGATCAGTGCAGTGTTAAAAGTGTATTTGCACATTTACACTGATATGCTGGGAGACCACATGCTCAGTGTGTTTGTGAATTCTAGTTAATCAAAGACGTTGAGTTATTTCAGCTCAAACTTAATTGTAACTATGATTCAGCCCAAAGGAAATGAATAAATAGATCATGGTTGATATTTTTTGTTGTTGTTTTTTTTCCTATGTGCATCTGCTTCCCCATTTCTGCATTTCCACCTCTGTAACTCACTACCCATGCATGCATGCAGCCACAGTACCTTTGCCAGTAGCTTTGCAGCGTTATGCAGGTACTGCCAGTCGATCCAGGTTCCCAGATTGTTCATTACTCTCTCCTGGATCTTCTCCTGAATCCTCTGGTATGTCTGAGCTTCCAATTGGAGAGATTTGTTGTGATTCTCCCACTGGTGGGAAAAAAATTAAATATTAGTTTGTTTCTAGCAGTACGACACTTTAGATGGGGCGCAGTATCTTTTAATTTCCAATGTCCCACAAAGCTTTTATACAATGTTAAGCTCCCTTGTGTCTAAAAATGTAGGTTTGTTGACAGTGTAAGAAGCTGTCAACCCAGTAAAGCTTCAGAGAAAATGAAATTTAACAAAAGATTGACAAACAAAATACCAAAAAGGTTTGTATCAGAGTGTTTGGAAACAGGACATAAAAAGTCAGGTTTGTTTAACCTGGAGCCTTTCTATGGAAAAACAGCTTACCCTCTCAAAGTAGAAGAGATATTTCTTGAGGGCCTCTCTGGCCTGAGCCTGCTGGCTCTGGTTGACTATATCAGGATTTTCTTTATAGCGACTGCACTCGTAGTATTCACTGCCATGAGTCTTCCAGTCTCCAAGACACATCCAGCAGAAGTCTTTCACAGGAGGAAAAACAAAACAGATTTATGGACTCTCCACAGTACACACAAGTATACCAAAAAAAAGAGAGAGAGAGAAAAAAAAGCCATAATTATAACTTCAGTTCTTATTTCTAGTAGTCTAAAGAGGATGATGTGATAGAGTGGTGGATAATATATTGTTATGTCAATGAATGAATGACACAGAGATTGATTTAACCACATTTTTGTGTAACTGATAATTGGTGTAGCTCAGAAGAAGCCGTGTCTGCTAGTCCGCCAAACCGCAGCTTCTAACGTTTTTTCTTTTGCAAGAACATAGTAGAAAACCGGGACTGGAAATTTCTTGGAAATGCAATCATTATCCCAGATGGATGCAAATTGCTCCACAGAATCCTCCTCTGAATCATAGAAGAGGTGTGACATTTTGAGACAGCCAACTTACCGTGTTTGCACTTGGAGCATTGCTGAAACAAAGAAAGAAGAAAAAAAAAAGGAGGAAGTCAAATTAGTGAACCAGAAACCTGAAAACACAATAATTTAAGATTCACTAGGACCGTGATTCAAAGCCATTCGGCAGATCACGCAAGACTAATGAACACAATGCTGTCACACATACAGCTTAGAGACTTTAATAAATGAAAAGCAAAAACAAATAAGTAACATCTTTCTGGAATGATTCACTCAAGTGGCAAATGATTAGAGCTGAGGACAGCAGCTCTCAGAATGTGAATGTATTTTTAGTGTTTCCTGTGTTCTGGGAAAGTGTGAATTTCAGCTCTGACTCACCATGTGATTGCACCCTCCATTCTTCTCAATGCAGATATTGCACTTAGGACACTAGAAGACAAACAGAGCTTTTAACTTCCTACTCCGAGCTGAAAATCTGCAGTGTTTATACAAATTACATTTTCAAACTGTGCAAGATTTGTGACCAACGGAGAGTTCAAAACGAAAGTAGGTGTGCAAGCGCACAAGTGTGTGAGCAACAGCAGTTACAGTACATGCGCATATCAATGTGTTTACATGCAGACGTTCTTACATCTTTAGTGTGGGCGCTGATGTAGTTTGCAGTCTCTGAGTCGTCTGCACATTTGGTCAGCCATTTCCTAATTGTTGCACAGTCTGTGGGTGCATGATACATCTGACGGCATTTGAAACTGAGGAAAAGATAACAAACAAAGACAGTGATAAGCTTCACTGATTACAGTGACATAAAAAACAGACCGAAGGTGAAACTGAGTAAAGTTCTCAGGAAAAAAATATGAACCGATTACAGTAGCGACACAATTCCACCATATAAAATCTGAACAAGTAACAGATTCTGCAAATAATTCACCCCATAGCTTCTGGATTCGTAAAATAAAGATTCTAATAATAATTTTTGTTTTTTTTAAAAAGTCACATAAGGGGAAAAACTTCAGAGGATAATTTTTAGTTAAACATCTGTATGTGAAACAATGATCCAATTTACTAATTCATAAAAGACGATGTTAGCTCTGTACATATCTGTAAATGTGCAAGTTTTTAATGTTTTGAGCCTAGATAAAAACATATTTAAAAACAAGTTTTAGAGTTTCAGTGAAATCTGTGAGAAAATAAAGAGAAAATAATAGTAATCTGTGTCTTATTTTTATGTTTAGCAGCATGTTATTCTACTAGCAGGATTTATAGCCAGCACAAAAAAAAAATCAAAAAAAATCAAAAACAACAACACCCCCCTCCCAAACAAACTAACAACAGTATAGTAATGATACTTTTAATTAGACAGCAAAACAAATTAATAATCTATGTGTGAAATTGTTACTGTAACTTCAATGTGTCACTTACCAGAAGACTTCACTGCAGCGGCTACACTGCACTCTACGTGCCCGTGGCTCCTGCACTTTGATGACCATGGGACAGTCTGCACCTGGACACAGCTGCAATTGGAAGTGACTCTACAGAAAGCACAAAGAGACCATTAATGAATTCACCTCCAATGTAGGCACAAGTATCTGACATAAGACAACCTTGGTAATTAATTCCAACTGATGATGTATTTCTTTATCATCTGAGGGAATGATTGCTGGAAATGACTGTCTGATTGAGATATAAGAATTGGCATTAACAAAGATACCTAGCTGGTGAGACAGACATATATACAGGAAAGAAGTCAGATTTCACGCTGTGTGTGGAACATTCACTGATTCAAAGCAAACACAAATAGGCCAACTCAGTTCTCACTGCCTCTCCAGATGCTTCTCATTCACTATACATGCAGACTTTGACACAGTATCTGAGCAAACACAGAGACTGTCACAGACCTCGACATAGTCTCTGAAGAGGTAGCGTCTGTATTTGTCCTTGAGCTCCTCTCCTGGCAGCAGTGGCAGGACAAAGTCTTCTGGCATCTGCAGGGAACAGTCCTGAGCCATACACGAGATACCTGAACACACAAACACACATTTATTACAGTCCTAAATCACAGACGGTGAGACAAATAAGATGTAGACAGTGACTTTGGAGACCTGTGTGCTTAATAGTACAAATAAACCCACCCTTTAAATTTAATTACAGCCATTCAAAAGTTCCACTGCAGCCATGTTTGGCCTAAGTGGGCTGGTTTCTTGTGTTACACTGACCTACAACTAGACTAGGGTCATCTGTCACCACAGACCCTTCCTTAGTGCAGCTGATATAGAGACACTTATCAGACTGAGGAGGACTTGGTTACATGGACTGACTTTATCAGAGAGACTGTTAAAGGCAGTACAGGGACGTGCACACAAACATCCTCACACATCTCACTGCTAAAGCATTTGCACTCCCACACACATGCAGCTACAGGGAGCCTGGTAAACTATGCACTTTATCACACATAAAATGTACAAGAGCTGAACCCAAATATTGGACCATTCTGATCATTTGGATCTCAGCTTAGGTGTCTGACCTCTCTCTCAGTCACAGGAGCGATCGTCAGGCTTCACTTCATCTAGTTGTTGCTAACATAGGTTTGTAACTAGATTTACCAACTTTTTGTCAGAGTGTAAGGTGTTCCTCTCGTCCTGCGGCTACACTGGTTTCTCTTTTTCGTCTGCTGAGTGAGTAACAGTGAGGAGCAGCAGTAACCGCTCATGGAAAAGAAAGGTATCTGGCACAGGTCTACAGTATAATGCTCAAAAAACTTAGAAACGATCAATGTACACACCCACACACCCATCTGCCATCCTGCTGACACAAGCACACTCTTTCACAGACACACACTGATAAATGAGGCTTCTGCAGGAGCATGTCTGCCTGTTTAACTCCACACCAGATGGAAATCATCAAAAGGTCACATTACACCACCTTTATCTTCCAAGTCCAAAGACATTCTTTCATTTTCCACACATGCAGAAGCACAAATAAATATGGACATCCGGGATGTGCAGTGTTTTCTGTTAGTAAACATGGTATTGCTGGGTGGCTGATGTAGCGCAAATTAAACACCACTCTGCAAACTACGCTGGTTTGGGAGTAAAGCAAGGCAGATCAGAGGCTGAAACCGTGATGAAACCCTTAGTGGACAAATACACATACCAGCGCATAAATATACAAAGTGCAGACATACAGATTCTTGAACAGACGTTTGGGAGCTCTGATCAAACAAACTGTGACTCACTCCCACTCTAATAACCGCTCTGATGACTAGAGAGATGCTTACAAACACGCTTGCTGTGTACTCACCCACTCCCGTGCCATCTTTGACCAGTACGGTGCAGTGCTGCTCCCAGCATGCTTTACAGAAGGAGTGCTGGCAGGGCAGTGCCAGCAGAGAGTCTCTCCGTACGACCTGTAGACACACACCACACTGGAGGGACTGAGGGGCCTGAAAGAGAAATCGAGATTATCAGCCTGATGAACCAGAGAGCTTGTTGGTAAGCTCAAAGTTTCTGACAAGAGCAGTCAAAGGTCATTTTTATTAATATGGTGCGTTTAAAACAACAAATACACATTAAAAGACAATAAAGAAAATAAAAATACAATAAACTTCTTAGCTCAATGGTAAGTAGAAGTTATTTTTTAAATAAAGATTTAATAAAGACAAATTTCACGTATTAATATAAAGCCAGAGTACTCTGATCAGCTGTGTTAGTACAAGTGGATTATCTGGTGCATTACAATCACAGTGACTTTGATGCAGACATGAGTACAGAGTTGAATCAGTGACAACAAATGATTATACCCCACTCACAGTGACTGATTTGCACGTGCTGCTGGGCTGGACCAGAGCGTCTGACAAGAGCAGAGACGAGTTGGACTTATATCTGTGGAAAGCAGAGGTCAAATGAGGAACTCAACAGTATATTAAAGTTGATCAACAAAGAAGTGGATGTTAAATGCCTGAAGAGATATCAAGTCGAATGTGTTACTAAGTATCAATGAGTACTAAAAGTAACTGTAATTTAAGTTTATTAACTTTTTGATACTGTCTGCCATAAGTTGTTAAAAAAAACCAACTACAAACAAACAAACAAAAACAAAAAACATCTAGTCTGTGCAGTTTAAACAACACAAAATGAAAAAGAAAAGAGTGTCAGAGTGAACTAAAAATGTGTGTTGGCAGTTGCAGAGTGATATTACACAGGAAGATGATGAGATAAAAACAGTGAAGAAGAGAAACTGCAAGGGCAGAAAATAAATTTGAGAAATGGATGTGAAGGACAGATAGTGTAAAAGAAATTCTGCAAAGATGAGAAGCAGTGGAGACATACCTGTCCAATATCTGTGAAACCTGCCAGTGGAAATGCGCTAGGATCAGTTTTGCTACTGACGGTACAACCTGTGGGAGAAAGAAGGGACGTAGAGATGTTGAGATGTTGCTTCAATGATGTCCAATTCTAAGAAATAAAAGATTGCTTAAACGATTGGTGCGTGACTTCCTTTGTTGAAAGACTGCTACTCGAGCTCTGTGTGTAATTCTACAAATGACTCAGATCCAAGTTTGGTTGATGGTCAAAACACTGCATTACAGTCCTGACCTACAAAGGTTTCCCTCTTAGTAAGACCTCTGCTACACAACAAGTGACTTAGTGGCAAAACAAAAAAGTAGACAGTTCGTTCAAAGTAGTGAATGTCGAGATTTGATGAACTGAGCTTACGATAAAAGAAATGCCATTACAATTTTATAATAAAGAAAAGACACTCCAAGTCTTCTTAAATGTAACACTGTCTTTGTGTCTTTGTGTTTTAAACTCTTAAAGTACCCCCTAGGACTTATTCCAGCAAAGGCACTGAGACATACTTGTTTATTTTACCTAGTGCCATCAAGAAAAACACATGCCTCAGTTCTGCTAACAGGGGACTGCAGTTGTGCAGTGCAGCTGTCAAATTTGACTGTGTGGAACTGTGAGCAAAGTTGATGTTGATGTTGATGGAAAACAACCTGTCGACTTAGCAATGTTACCCAAAACAGGTGACCTGAAGGTATAAAGTTTTTTTTTTAAAATCTTTTACAGATTATGTAAAAATGAGAAAAAGGGGTAAAAGCCCAGACCAAAAGTTTCACTCTGTTCTTTAAAGCATCCCACTGACAAGTATCACAGTTTGTAAATGTTTTCACTTCTTGTTTAGGGAATTTCTGCCTGTTTTTGACTGCAAACACCTTCTGAAAGATTCTTGCACTTTTCAGGTCTCTCCACTGATTTTTGATCTGCAACCCTGCCCCTTTTAGACATCAAAGTACTTTTACAACAAGAGCACTTGAAGCCATTGTCTTTTTTTTTAAAAAACACATACTAATAATTGCATCAAGAATTTATTGAAATACGACTGAAGTAAATCCACTGCCTCTAGTTGCAACACACGCCCAAATCCATCCCTGCACTTAACAGCAGGGGAGATGTTTTCAATTAGTCGCCCTTTTTCCTACAATCAAACCTTCACTCATTGTCAAAATGTTTTACTTTACATTCCATCAGTTCAAAAGACTGGTATTGGTGATTTATTTATTTTTTATGTTCACCTGGAACCTTCTGACAGCAAGTTTTGTGATCTAGACTTTCAAAAAGGTCTTTTGCAGTTAACCTCCTAGGACCTGGTGTCCACATATGTGGACATCACATTTTGGGTTATTTAGACCAAAATACTTAATTTTGCTTGGCATCCACTTACGAGAACATTATACTGCCACTGTTCTATCGAAATTTAAAGTGAATGTCCTCATATGTGGATCTAATTTTTCTCAAGAACAAAAATCATGTTAAAAAAAAAAAAAATCTTATAAGTTGTTGTTTTTACATTCATCAGGCCCCAATCAGCCCAAATAGCAAAAATAAATTAAAACGCATGCCATGAAAGATTTCAGTTGAAAACTACATCTTAATGACATTAGGAGCAGAGCAAATGGCCCCTAAAAAACGCTGTGCCATCTATTTTCACACATGAACATGTGAAACATTGTTCTAAGGTGTGTTTTCCCACGGGTAACACATACCACAAGCTAGTCTGCATCAACTGAATTCTAACTACTGGAAACACTGCCTTTTTCTTTTTTTTCTTTTGTTTTTAAAGCCAAGGGGGCTGCATGAGTAAAGCATGCATGAGGAAGGATGCAAGACTGCATGCCACCGCATGCCTTCCTTGACTCTTCTGCAACATTTCCTGTTTCTCTCTTATCCACCTTTCCAATAGATTCTGCTCCAATTGAAAAATAAATAAATAATAATTTGCTCCATTTGATAAATTTACCCAACTGCAATTTTGTTGGTGATCCATGATAACTTTGTACCTGTTTCTTATGAAACTTTGTAAGCAAGAAAGAATTAGTTTTGTAATATTTTCAATAACATGACATATGAGGCATGACAAATGAGGGTGACCCATACTGAATTATCTAACTTGGGGGGGGACGACAAAAACAAAAAAACAAAAAAAACAAAACACACACTTGCACCCTGCTTTTGCCTTTCAGATTTTGATTTCACACACTAAACCAATGTTTTTGAGAAGAGTGCAGCTCCACTCACCTTCAGTGCGGCAGCCACAGTGTTAACCTCCTCCATCAGCACCCGCTGGCTCTCTTTGTAGGTCAGACAGGTGAACTGGTACTCCTCTGGATCGAAGGAGTCGGCGCCTTGTTGCTCCACGTCACTGGCCACTCCGTCGTAGTATCCTGCAATATCACCCGGATCCTCCTCTTCTCCTCCATCATCCTCATCCTCCTCTTCTGAGTTCACCCCGAAGTCTTCCTCGTTGCTATCCGACGCCTGGCTATTCATGTCCACAGACATCCAGTCGACTGATTTGATAACCCGGACAGGTAGACTACCCGCCTACCTGTCGGATCCTACTCGTCCAATGAGCTGAAATGGCTTGACTGATGCGCCACCTCCTCGTTTCTCGCCGCCCTCTTTCCACTTTCTCGTGCCACTTCACTCTACGAGACACCGTGCCTTCCTGTCTGCCTGAAGCGCATACACAGCGCGCTCAGCAGCAGCGGAAGAAGCAAAAGAAGTCACACTCCCCGTCACTCATTTGGAAAGTTTGTTTGGATAATCTGAGGAGAAAAAGACTGGAGGAAAGGGGAATGGGGAAAAAGAGAGTTGAATAAGGAAAATGGAAAAAAAGAGTTAGAAAAACAAGTGGATAAAAGGTGGATAACATTTCCTGATGATCATTTGTTTTTTGGAATTATAGACAATTTATTTTTTTTAAGAATGAGCAATTCTAGCTTCTTAATCCAAAACAAGCCGTTTGTCCACGCCTGCCCTCTCCCTTCAAGTTTCATTTACAAACACCATTTGTGTACATGAAAGACAATAAATACATAAGTAAATCTAGAAACGATGCCTGCATTATCACATGGTAAAATACAGTGACACAACATATGCACTAAGCCACTCGATGTTGACTTTCTTATTTTGGTGAGAGTCTCTAATGCCATTTTCTCCATTTCAACAAAGTAAACACGTACAATAAAGTAAGCAATAGGGCTGGGCCATATCATACCTTTCACGGTAATGCCGGTATAATGTTAGGCAACGATAAGAAAATGAAATATCGGATAGAATATGGGTAAAACGCGCATGCGCAGTGCCTTTGTTTTCATACGCACATGGCGGAAAAAGCATGGCGGCGACGGAGAATGAGAAGAGCGAAAGCGGATCGTTGAATGAAACGAATGAACCAGAATTGGTTTGTAAAAATGCTGCAACTTCAGTGATGTGGAACTGGTTTGGATTTCGTCCCAGATACACAACAAAGCACATTTTTTGGTAGAGCATGCAAGCGGGCCGTCGTTATTACCGAACCTATTTTATGTGGTACACGGCACTCAAAAATTTGTCAAAAAATGTTTTAGTACGACTTCGCTAAACTACGAAGCCGCACCGCTTGACGCATTGTCAGAGCATTACGGCTACCGTAGTCAGGAGGCTCGCGGAGTACTATGTACTTTGCTTCAACATAATATTACCGCATCCTGTGTGTATAGACTCTTTTTAAGTTTTGTGGATATTATACATTAGGGGTGGGTTTTGATTATCGATTAAAATCGATTCTAGCTTGGATAACGTGATATTGAGTCATTAAAATCCTGAATCGATTTTTAAATATAAATTTATTTTGCCCTCTGGTTAAACCTCACAAAATTTCAACAACCACCAAACAGCTAAAACAGTAAATGAGAGCAGGTACACGGACTCTGCACAATGAGGTAAACACAAAGCGCGGACCCGCCGACGGATCAGAATCAGTGAGATGTCGCCTTTCTCATCCAAAGGCACGGACACGGTCGGGGCTGAAAGCCGACAGCTCACCGATTCTGATGTTTCGGCGGGTCCGCGCTTTGTGTTTACCTCCTTTGTGCGCTAGATTCTGAACCTGCAGGTTTGATCTATCGCCAAACAATATTGACTGAACCAGCAGCAAAAGAAGATCCAAACTACGCTTCACATAAACATCGTCATGAATTCCCTCTGACTTTTCCTGTTTTGCTTCCACGATAAAAATCATACTTCATGCAGAGCTCGTTGTCTCTCTCTCTCAGTGTACTTCAAGAACAGTTTCACATCTAAAAATCTATTTTCTGCATTATTCGCTTGCTTATTACGCACAAGTCTACCATTGTTTACAGCGCTGTCGGACGCTGGTTTTTCCTTTTACTTACTTCCGACAAGAAAGCCTCATTTCTGCTGTTCAATAGGCCTGCTGAACAAATTGAAACTTTTTAAAATAAAAACTAATAAAACCTCTGTAACTTTGCTCTGCTTCACTTCAGCAGCATCAGGTAATGTTCATATGTTGATTAATGGTTTTCTTTCGTTTTTGATCTACTGCAGAATATTTTTAAGGTCATCTGCTATAAAATCCCAGGCCAGGAAAATCTTCTTCACGTTTTTCTGTGTTTTATCCTCAGTTACTTTGACACAAAGGCATCTGCTGTGATGCTCACACCTTTGATAAAGTCTCGCAAGTGTCAGCTTTCTTTTTATAGACAAAAAATATGGAAATGTACTGATGTGTGATCAGAATTATAATATTTCTGACTGAGTCAAAATTTCCCGGATTCAAATCGATTCGGGACCTTGTGAATTGGAATTGAATCGATTGTAGAAATCAGTGACGATACCCAGCCCTATTATACATGGTTATGCTCAGGATATGTCGGCCAATTTCCACTGGAAATGCCTTTTGGTTAAACTGTCAGTGAGGAATTTGCATTTGCACTGTTAAATTTTTATATAGCTTTAATGCACAAAAAAAAACTAAAAAAAAAAAACAGCTGCTTGTTTATGTGAAAATACGTTGATGGTTTTTTTTCTTTGCACTAATAAAGTTGTGGAGTTGTAAAGTATTTTGTCTTGCATCAATTATATCATCAGTTATATCGTTATTTTCAAATATATATTGTGATAAAATTTTTACCCATATTGCCCTGCCCTAGTGAGCACGTAAATAATCTATAGTACTGTGCAAAAGCATTCAGCCACCCATATTTCTTTATTTTTTCATTTGAAGAAGCCGGACTTTCTTGTAATTGTTTAAAGTGCTCTCGAGCAATAGTTCTCCAGGTTTTCTGAAGATCTTTCAAAGAATGTTTTGTGGGGGTTTTTTGGCTGCTTTTTCACTTATTTTCAACCCAGTCCTTGTGCTTGACTGTTTCCAGAAGATTTTTCTGTTTGTTTGTTAAGCTTCTTAACACTGACCTAAAAATCATTCAAGCATTAAAGAAGGCGCCTAACTCAGGATATGAACCAGCGTTGTGTCTATACATAACAGACAACTTGGCAAAAACTAATTGTAAATTGTACCTGCATGCAATTTGATACTAGCATCCTGTCACAAAAACACAATTTGTTTCCTCTTATAAAAAATGCTAAAGATAACACAGTTTGTCCGGCATAAAAATAATATTTTGCCCCAACTAGGTGATTCCCAAAATGCTATAACCCAAAAACCTGGCATAGATTGGCAAAAACATGAGGAAATTAAACAATTCGAGGACCAAGTGGCAGGCCTAAAAAACTATTAATGGCAGATGAAAAGTATCTGATACACAGCGGAACACTGTCAGTCATGGACCAGCCTCCCCAGAGCCCGAACCTCAACATTACTGAAACAGTGGGATCATCTTGACAAGAGAACAGAATGAAAGGCATCCAAGATCCAAAGAAGAGCTTTGAATGTCTTCAAGGAGCCTGGAGAACTGTTCCTGAAGACTACTTTAAGAAATTACAACAAAGCATGGCTAAGAGAGTTCAGACTGTGTTGACAAATAAACTTTATTTTTGCAGACTACTGTAAATAAATCCCTTCTATTTTTTTTATTACTACATAATTCTATAAACAAATTACATACTGCAAAGCTAAATTAAACAAAACAAACAAACAAAAAAAAACCCCATGTATTGACAGATAAACAAAGATAAAAATAAAATTAAAAAAGCCTGAGTAATAAACTCTAGTTGGAAAAAAAAGAAAAAGGGGAGGAACCATAAAATAATAGAAATCATATATATATACATATAAGACATAAAAGCTTATAAGCTGCAGATAAGGTTGAACAGGGCTTTCACAGCTGTCAAACATCTACTACCATGATATCTTTTCTAGGAATCTCTGAGTAATACCTTGGAACATTGGCTCACAATGTCAAAATGCACTTAAAAGAATGGCAGCAAATACAATATAATGATCAGTTATCATCCTCAATGTGGTAGAAAGCAAATGTCCCATAATCTCTAGAAAATTGTGTTCTGGTAAAAGGGAATAAATAAAAAATAAAACAGATTAAAATTGATTTAAAATGATTGTTACTAAATAAACACAAGACAAAAAAAAAAAACAATTAAAAAAAATGCCTGTGCCAGAGTTTAATGACAAACTGAAGTAAACTGGAATGAACTAATGAACCACATGACCTAATCACATGTCTTCTTCCTTGGGGAATGCAGATGGATGAGATAGAGATACTGGGTCAAATGAATTTGACCACCATTGTTTTTGACCGTTAACAATACTGACTTTCCTAGAGTGTTGTGAACTGCATCAAGCTGGCAGCAGTCTTTGTGAGATGTGATTAAATACACTTTAACTGGAAGGCAGATGGTGGATTTTAGTATTAATTTGTCTCCGTTATGTGTGGATGAAATGTTGACTTCGTGATTTAAGTCATTCCGAACAGAGGAGCTGGTGGTTCACACACTGAGGAGAGCCTGAAATGACTTTTTGTGAAAATTTCTCAATAACACACTTAAATTGAGTCGTACCTCACAACAAGTCAGGAAGACCAATTGCTAGTTCCCAAATTTGGTTCATTTACAAGAAAATGTGGTCTAATGAGAAAATTAAATCTTGTTATAGCTGACAAGCTAGAAAAAAAAAAAAGGAAGATGATGTTAAGATGAACGGCTGTGACTGGATTAAATCCATGGTCCCTAACTTCAAGGGTTCATAGTTCAGTTACACTTACATGACTCAGCTTCTCACATCTTTCCCAAGGATGAACCTTCCTGATGTTTCTTTTAATGCTGAAATACTTTTGCATCATATTATTCTACTGAACATTGGAAAGATCCCATTAAACCCAGACAATAACAAGCACATAACAGTATAGCCGTGGTGTACAACTGGATTCAACATATCAGAAAACCGGGTTGTTGTTTTGTTTTTTTTACCCAGACTAGCTCGACTGATATCATACAGATATTAGTTGATTTACAAATCTGATTATCTGATAGTTATACATACACATACAATATTTTTGTTTTACCTTTCAGACACCTGAAATAGATTTCATTAGCATCTGTTCAGCGTAGCTAAGCGTTTACTCTCTGTTCAGCTCTGCTGAACATCATCAGCTGTTTATGTTAGTGTTTCCAAAAATGTGCGTTGCCAACAGTGAAGTTAACAAGTCCCTTCGGGTGGTCAAAGTATGCAACGATAACACTCATAACAGAGGCGAAAGGTGTTTTACTAGTCTCTTCTTTACTTTTAACATTTTCATTTATGAGTCATAAATATGCAAGATTGTTTGCACCACTGGGCCAGGCACAGATAAGCCATCATTTCAGGTCATATCAGAATTTCGAGTTCTGATATGAACAACTACAAATTTTGAGACAATGCCCCAAAGTTTCATTACAGTGCTGGAAACAAGCTTCCATATTATAAACACCAATACGCATAGATAACTCCTACCTAATTCTAGCCACTAATATTGGACCTCCAGTATATCGGCTGGGGTCTAAGAAAGACAGATGCTTTATATAAACTGCATTTACTTTCTAAAACCAACGCTGCACAGAACTTTACGTTTTTTAAAAATATGGGCGAGAAGCTTGCGGGTTTTTTTTTACTTCTGGGGAAAACGTGTGTCTTCGCCGTGTAATACAAAGTAATCCCCCCACTTCTGAACGGAAAACACACTGAGGATAACTAAAACAGTGACAGCACAAAGGCCCCCCTAGTAGGCTTGTTTCGACATGTGATTTGATCAACAGACACGGGATCAAAGACGACTGCTGGCACCGATGTTCAAAATGTGACTTTGTAAATATCCACTGGACAGAAAACAAGGTTAGCCGGGAAAGCCTGCCAGTCGGCCCCGGCAGACAGACGAACGCTCGCATTCCACCCGATCCAGGATAAAAATAGGCAGCAAACTGGGTGACACACATCTTGCTAGGCTAATGTATTACAGCGACTCAGCACAGGTTTGATAACAGGTCTTGTGGGAGGATGAGGGTAGCGGGGAGTCGAGATTAAATTACGCAAATAAGCACCCGGTCGTGCCTGGACTTCAGCGTTTCGGCTCAAAGCGCCTCTGAAGTTAAATCCACACAACAGCTGGCTAACTTACCGTTAGCCGGATTAGCTCCCTGGCTAGCGTACTGGTATTTCTGTTGAGCAGAGGAAGTAACGCAATTGCAAATCCACGACTCGGACGAGTTACGACTGTTGAACACCTTCATAACACACTTGCAAAAGTTTTCAAGGAACACTTTTAATGTGTTCCCCAACAAAAATTGACAACATAAGAGCTAGCCAGGTAGCCACCCCTCCTCCTCATTCCCCTCCCGCTGTGCCTCCGCCTCTCATCCACTCTAGTCCGGGGATCGAGATGTAAACAAGGGCCTCTGGAGAAGCTCGGGAGCAAAGAGGCACATTTACACAACCGCTGCGTGAATTTCCACTGTTTAAAGTCGGTGGGGTTTACCTCTTAGTGCAGAGTCAAGTCAGCCCGCGGTGACAACCAGAGGCGAATTTGGAGTAAGGAAATCCTAAGCGCGATTTACACGCTTTTGCTTGGCTGGTAGGCGGAAGATAGACCGTTACAGGGGTACTTAACAGTGACGTCACGTCCGCGTTTCTCTCGCAGCCTTTTGCTCTCTTTCTCTCTCTCTCTCTGTAAAGAAAGATGCAGCACTTCTTGTTTTGTCCGGTAGTATTCAAGCACCAAAGATCTGCTTTGTTTTGTTCCAAACATGCATCTGGTTAAATGCATGTTTTGATCAATATACTTTTCCTTGGATGTTTGACCTTCACTATGCAGAGAGATTGATTTATTGATTTCATGCTGAAAAGAGGATTAATTCTAAATTCAATTTTCTCAGGATACTGTAGCCTATGTCCACTGTATACAGTCGATGGTTTACCCACATAGAAAATTCTCTCCCGGCATATTGCTCTTATAACGTGACACCTAAATCCCATCCAGGTTATAAAGATTGCATAAGTAACTGTATAGTCTGGGACTGTGTTTCCTTATGCCCGTTCAGTAATCTAAAAAATAGTTACTTTTGGAAACTTCATGTTTAACAAACGCTTACAAGATTAAAGCTCTCACACGGTGCAACATATTTACCTTCGTAATTGAGCCAGGTTGACAGAAAACTGGCAACTGCTCTTGTTATCAACCAGAGTACTTGTGATATTTCTCAGTATTTATTAAAAATCTGATTCATGTATAATGCAAGTTATCATTTGTTGCAGCTAGAAATTGCCTCTGTTAGCTATACAGCACAATCCTGTTTTACATTAATGCACGGTCAATAATAATCTAATTAAATATTTTCCCACACGGAGAACTTTTTTTTTTATTAGTGGTACTCTGGTGATGATATACGGGTTGCTTTTATCTATGTAACTGTAAGAAGGCTTTTACTTGCACCCGAGTACTTTAGGATTCGAATACTTCCTCCACTGCTGTTAGCAAATGGGTTTTCAATTGAGTATCGTTGTGTTAAACGTGTTTCTAGTTTTACGCCCTTCTACAACCCCTACTGGCCGTGCAGCGGCAGTGTAGGAGTGTGTATATATATATTTTTATATGTATGTGCATATGCATGCTGTTTATCCTGATCCTCGAATGTCACTTTATGAAATTCGATCGTTTCATGTCAGTAACTGATAGTCTTTGGTATCAAATACATCCTGGCATCATAAAGCTGCATTTCTAAATTGCTCCTGCTTTTGTTTCCAGTCCTCCTAAAGCTGTAACTGCAGGCAGTCTAATGCAGCTCTTCAGCTAGACTGAAACATTAGACTTACAGTTCTTCTGCTATGAAAGTATAGGAGTGATGGCTTGATAAACTATGCATTATCCTCTGCTGTGCTTCTCAGCAGTGCCTGAGAGAAGTCGAGGGCTAAGCCCCAGAGGGAAATGGTATGGTAATAGGGTGGAATTGCTGAGGAGGAAGATGGATCTTCTAATGGAGCTGATGTTCAGTCAGCTGTTACTGCTGCAACATGAAACATTTTACCTCTGCAGTTTACACTGATGTTGTCTTTACTTTTAAGGAATGCCTTGCAGTCTACCAAAAAACCTCGTAAACAATCATTACCTTTGCATAAGAAAATTAGAAAAATCCAAATTTGAGAGAAAAGCAAGCCAAAGTCAGGCCCTCTTCTGGCAGTCCTTTTGTAGGTAAACGCAGGCAGTTCACAGTGATCAAGACTGTGCCTAAATACAATTGAACCTTCAAGAACATAATTAATATGGCATTAGTAACACCTGTGTTTACTCACCATTTCAAGGTGGTTAATGGGGCAATCTTGATGATCTTTAAAAGTGTCCAATTAATAAGTATAGATAGCAAAATCTATAAGAAATCTACAGCATTTTTTTTATTTTTTATATATTTAAACATTTATTACAAAAATAAATTTCATACAAGAACAATTGGCAACTTTTAAATGGTTTGAAGACATGTAGTACGGAAAATCTTCCAACAATTACAAAACAATGTTTTTTCATCAATTTGTCATTGTTATGTTATTATGTCACAGTTTACAGTCAGGCATCTCACAATTTCTATTTACCAACTCAAATTTAGAAGAAAATATGATCCTAAAATTTGAACTTGAAATTTTGACTTATGGATGGTATTTTCTTTCTGTCTTTTTTTCAGTGTCGGAAACAATAATATACAGCCAAAAGTTATTAAATGGTGCCTAATATGTAAAAGAAATGAGTGTAAAAGAAATACTGAATGCAAACAATGGCAAAGAGAAGAGGAGACATAAGCAAACCTCCTGCTTAACAGGCAAAGAGGACATGAAGCACTAAAGATAAATCAAAAATGAAAGAACAGTTTTAGTGATTTTCAAGTTATACACTCATTAAAAACTGTCATATAGTCTGCATATACTTTGTTAGATGAGGAGTCTATATCCATAGATCAACTTAAATGTGCACAGTGGTTGGTTCCTTACAATGGCTCTGTCAGATCTTTACCCAACATGAGTATTAAAAAAAATCAGCTGACAAAAGTAAACCAGCAGAATGTTTTTTTTTTACAAAGAAAGTCAAACAAACAAAACATTTACATTGAGCCAGTAACAGAAGCTATGCTCTTATTTGGTCAGACCTGCAGGTTGGAGAAAAACTGCTAACATGAATGTGATAAAACAGCAGCAGCTGACAGGAGCACAGATGCTGTGTGCTTATTTTTACCATTCATTATAATTTGTAGTGTTAGCACAGGAGGTATTGTGTTTAATTGCCACGCAAGCTATCCATTCATGTCAGCATAAGCTCTAAATGCTAACATTAATGTGCCCAGCAGGTTCAAACCTGTCTGTACTGGTCAAAGTTTGAAGCACTGAATATTTACACCTGATATCAGTGCCTAATACTCACCTAATACACATGAAGATGTAAGGACACTTCCACAGTCTCCATGATAACCTATACTGTTGCTGTACATATGCATGTTTTTTTCCCCCTCTTACTGTCATTTTGTATGTCCATGAAGTTCTCACATAAAAATCTTACAATACAGTGTACACCAAAATGGAGCTATGAACAGTGATGCTTTATGTCGTCACCTTCTCCTTGCTTCCCGTATTTCCTTTCCTTTCCTTCCAGCGTTACTTCCAAAGGCTCCAGGGTATTTCAGTGACCCATGCAGCATCCTGCTTTGAAGTGATGTGAACATCTTCCAAACTAAATGTTGCAAGAAGTCAGTGAAAGTGCTTTTTTAACAGCATCATGGAATCAATCTTTGCTTTACAAAAACCTGAAGGTGGTCTCCAACATCACACTTTCTCAAAGGGGAATAAATGTTGCTCTTGACCCTTCTTCTCTCGTTTTGTTACTTTCTTCTTCTTCAGTCCGCTGGCATTTCCACCATCCTCCTCTGCTTGTCTGTTCTGAGGCCAGGACATTGCTAGAGTCTCGGATGCCGTCTTAGCTCCCGGACTTTCACCCTCAGCAGCCTCCTCATCTGAGGAAAACCCTTCGGCGTCACCTCCATGAGCAAGGCTCCCCAATCCCTGGTTCTTCTTGTTGTAACGCTTTTTAAGCCTTTCTCTGATCAGGAGTCCTTTCACCAGCAGAGTCCAGTTGGAGATGGCCCTCTTCTCTTTTTTCTAGATGTTGCAAGAAAAGAAAAAAAATTAAGCCCGTCACGTACAGGTTTCTACTTGAAAGTAATAGCTGATACTTTGTGTTAAAGTTCCCACCTAAACTACATAATCTGGTAATCTTACAGGGTTGTAATCAATAATTGTCAAATTAGTGATATGAAAGAAAACACACACACACACACACACACACACCTCTTTCTCCTTCTGTTTCTGAAGCTCTTGTTCTTCCACCCACGCAGCTCTGAGGATCTCCTCGTGCTCCTCACACGCAATGTAGCCGTCAGTGCTGAAACACACACAGGTGAGCAAATATCCCCTTAGCTTTGACATGTTTGTAACAAGTGCATTTATTTCATTTCTTTCTTTAGGAGTAAAAACATCCTGATTTTGATCTTTTTATTTTAAACACTGAAATGATTCCATGCAAATGTTCACAGAGAGGGATTTTACCCAAAGCCAACTAATGAGATGAAAATAAGCTCGCTGGAAACAATACAGATAAATTTGGAAAGCAACTAATTAAGCTTTCAAAAACAACAACAACAACAACAACAACAACAACAAAAAAAAAAACACAGTTGTGATTGAAATTTGAAGATACTGTTATCAGTATCTGCCTTCACAACTAAAACCGAGTGAGTGTAAGTAGAAAACAAACACAAACTGATTTTTAGGAAAATATCACGATTTAATGAGTCTGTCTAGGAATCGATAATGATGTGCACGGGTCAAAAAATGCATATGAGTTTGTTTGAAAGTCCCTCAATATTGTGAAATTCTAACTCTCGGTGCAGTTGTTCATCCTGAGATTCTGCCGATGACCTTATCCATCTGCTTAATTGTGTTTACACCCCACCGAAGGCTCTTCAGAGTCATCTTACACAGCGTGCGAGTATCCTCCATGGAAGTCGAAACCTGTGACTGCAGGCGCTGCGTCAATGTTCAGTTTCCTGGCCACGCGGTGCAGGTTGGTCAACCTGATATGAACACAGCCCACCGGCAACATACAGGGTTTAAACAGGTAGACATTACCGTAGTCATTACGTGGGACCTGAGGAAAACATACGAAAACACAATGACACTGACACTTTATCCTGTTGGTTCTTATGTTGCTCATAAAACTTTGTTTCGCTTAATCTTCTGAATGTGATGCTCAACCCCACACACACATATACATACCTTCCCATCCACGGCTATCGGCGGCTGGTACTCTTCAGTTTGCCATTCTCCAAACAGAGCCAGGTCATTCTCATCCTTCAGCTCAGACGTCATCCTGGCCTTACGGGAACGATTAGAGAAGCCCTTCACCATCTAAAAAGGAAAAGACGTGTTTATATTGTGAGTTCATAAAGTCACCAAAGCCTTTCATGTTTCCACATTATCTGTGTGTCTATTCAGTATGCAGCAGCCTCAGTCTGTTATGATTCCCCCTTCCTGTCACCTTGACGATGCCGTTGATCCAATTGATCCAATTAATCCAATT